CAATAAAGATAAATTTTTTAAAAAATGACAACAGCCAAACACACACACACACACAAGATAGTTCCTGTCCTTATAAGGTTATTAGAGTAACAGGTATGCATTTAATTAAAGCTCAAATTCTCAAATAGAAGGGGAAGGTTTTATTAACCTTTTGTCCACAACTATCCTCATTTTATAGATAAGAAATTTGAAGCTCAGAGAAGTTAACTGACTTCCCAAGAAGCTGGACCTGTGACTGAGATTTTAGGATTTCTAATCTGTCCTTTGTACTACCACTGCAGGCCACTATGCCATCTGTTAAGGATGGCCTAGGTGAAAATATGTGTATTTCAGGGGGATAGATAGCAGTCAATTGGTTATTTCAAGAAATAATGAGATCATTTTCTTTGGGAGGGTGTGGGGAAGAAACAAGACAAATCAAGATGAAGACACCTAGGACCTGTGAAAAAGATCACATGGAAGGCATAGTCTTTCTGGTGGAAGACAAAGGTGTTTGTATGTATGTGGAAGATTTGGGGATAAGATTATATCTTTTGCTGTTTATTGAAGGTTTTCTCTATATGCCAGGTGCTGAATATCATCCCATTTAACACCCAGGGAAATAAGCAGTTACAATAAAAAAAATGTATACATGTGGACACATGTATAGCAGGGACACCAAACCAACTCTGGATGATGGGGCAGGGAAGACTCCTCAGAGGAGGTGACACCTTAGCTGAAAACTGTAGGTCAAGTATAGAAATTAATCCAGTGAAGAGAGGAAGAGCTTTCCAGCAGAGGAAGCAACAAATTTGAAAACTTGGAGGAAAAATGCCCATATCTGGGACTCAATACAGGATATAAGTGAAATGAAACTTTAAAAACCTGACAACTTTGTAGAGCTAAAATTTGTTCTGCCCTTAAGGAGTTCCTTGCCTGCTAGGGATGGCAGAAAAGTAAACAGACAAAGTGATAAAGTGATAAGTATTAGGACAGGAATAATATTAGGATGCCACCAGCAGTAGAGAAAGAAAAAGTGTCAGCCCAGGCTTCACTTAAAAGGTGATATCCACAAGAGGGTGCTTAACAGGTGTCAGTTGGTTTTATATCCTTTCAATGGCATTTATAGTTTCCATCACCTGGCTCCTATGTCTTGTTAAACCAGCTCCTCGGTAGATTACAATTCTGTATTAGTACCTGTTTTCGCTAACTGAAAGAAATCTGAAGAGGACTTTCGCATTTATGAGAAAAGCAATTACCATACTAACGTAGGTCTTCCATGAAAGCGAAGTGGCATATGCAAACTTTCAGAAAGTGGGCAGTAATGCTTCACTTTATGCCACTTTGGCTTACAAAGGGTTTCATAGGAACATTCCACTTTCAGATAGCAGGGGAAACCTGTACATAGTATTCTCAAGCAGCCCAGTTTCGCTCTCACCTGAGTCCCCCTGGCTGATAGTCCGGGGCCGTTCTAAAGCAGCTGTGGCACATGTGACAATAGCATGGATCCGAATATCATCATGCATGTCCACCAAGCTCCGCAGCAGACCCTCTACTGTCTCATGGTGCCACTCGATGACTGTGATGCAGGGAGGAAAATGAGAAGAGAACCACCTGGTCAGGTTAAGTACTGCAGGCAGGTGACAAGAAGTCCCTCTCCCCCCAGGACAATTCAAGCAAAACATTAGCTCAGGAAAATAAAGGGGCCCAGAGATGGGATCCTTAGGGAAGTTATTTCTCTGATGATCCATGTACTCTATTCGGTTCCCAAACAAATCCCTCTCCTTCCCCCGGCATCTCATCCTATATTGTCTTACTCTGCTTAAATACTCAATAAAACAGTGGTTAAGGACACTTGTTATCACACATACCAGGTTTGGAATCACAGTTATTAGCTGTGTGACCTTGGATAGGTTTCTAAACCTGTCTGGCTTGAGATTTTTCATTTGTAAAATGGGAATACTAGAACCTACCATATTGAGTGACTGAATAGTAAATGAGTTAACTAGACAAGTTTAGCAAAATACCTGGCAAGTTATCAACAGGTTCCTTTGCCTTTGAGGGCTCCTCCACCTTGCTTTCAAGTCTTCCTCATTTTATTGCTAACTGCTCTCTTTGTGCTTCCACCATCTGTAGTTGCTCCTACTAGTAGCTTTTACTTAGTATCTCTTTCTCAACCCTTTTATGCTTATCTGATCCAGTTTACGAAACAGATCACCTCTCTTTTTTCCTACACTAACTAAATCCGTTTCTTATGTCCTGAAAGGCAGCAGTCCTTGAGTCCTCAAATTTTGTAGCTTTCCTTGCTAGGCCCTTACTCTGCCTCAGGCACCCAGACTTCTATTCCCATATCCATGAAGACAAAGTAGATATATGATATCCCCAACTCCACAAATGAATTTTGGAGAGAGGTTGTTTATACCATAGACAACTACCTTTTAAAAAAAACACAAAAACATTACATTTCCATTGCTTGGACAGCATATTTCATTCTTCCCTTGACATTATTTACTGAACATAAAGTTTCAGAGGTCAGTAAGTTAGGGTCCCGGCCTGTGAAGAGTTCTCAACATAATGAATTTCCAAATTACTGAAGTAAAACCTACCCTTGCAAAAATCGTCCAGATATGTGTCAACTAGCATTGTGTGAAAGGCTCTTGTTTAGTCTAACCTTGATGAGGCAACCAGATTTTTATGTTTTACGAGAGGGATGGATTTTCAAAGACTGAGAAACACTAGTCCAAGGTGAGCCCCTCCTCCCCCCCAAATACTTACTGATACCTCTGGATGCCCCCCTTCACTCACTTAGAGCCCAGGCAGTCTTCCATTCCTGCAGCATCCTCCGCAGGACCATCAGTTTCCAAGTCACGTTCTCCTTCGGTGACTCCTCCTGCGTTTTTAGTTTCCTCGTCTTAATGGGCACATCCTCCTCAACCCCCTGCAGCAGCAGGTCCTTGGCCGGGGTGGGCAAAGCAGTCCAGCGCAGGGCTCCTTTCACGGGCCTACAAGCTGTGCAGCGTGGCAGTGTGAGATATTCTCACCCCACTGCCCTAGGCCCTGTATTCCAGCTAGCATCCCATTCCTGTTCCTGACTAAGACCAAGGCAAAACAATATTCTCAAGAGGGAACTTTCCTGTGGTTATAAGGGGAACTGAGTACAAGTCCCATGGGGAGTTATAAAAAGTCCTGACTATAGACATGATAAAGCCATGATGATGGGAGAGAGAGAT